CTGTGACACTATGGCGGTCATCTCCTTTTCTTGTACTGTGTATTTCCRCTCGGTGTCATTGAGCTTACGGCTCTCATAGGCGAAAGGGTGCCCCTCTTGCATAAGAACTCCACCGATGGCATAGTCCGAAGCATCGGTATGTACCTCGAACGGCTTAGCATGATCCGGCAAGGCCAGCACCGGATCAGCCATGATGGCTCCCTTTAAGTCCTCAAAGGCCTCTTGACATTCTCTCGTCCAATGCCATGGTTGGTTCTTCTTAAGGAGATTAGTSAAAGGTGCAGCCCGACCCGAAAAGCCTTGGATGAACCTACGATAGTCGTTTACCAGGCCAAGAAAAGATCTTTACTCATATACCTTTGATGGGGGATCCTATTCCTCTATGGCCTTCACCCTCATTGTCCATGCAAATGATCCCTCCCTTGATCCGATGTCCAAGGAACAAGACTTCTTGTTGAGCAAAAGAGCACTTTTCCTTCTTAACATAAAGCTGGTTTAGTGGTGGAATGGACCCAAAAAATTCAGGCTGGGTGGCGAGTTAACCTGTCTAACTAATCGTGGCTTGAAAGCACTACACTATAAAACAAGCCAACATAATTTAAAAAATCCATGGGATTGGTTGCATTGATCTATTTTTTTTTCTTTGCGATAAATAAATCGGAGAAAAATAATCCATATTTAACACAGTGGACCTTATATTGATGATGCCATTCTGACTTTTTTTATTATTCAAACTTTTGGGACTTCTCTTATAATCAACTACTTGGTTTTAAGCCATTTTATAATCAACCGAAGTTTAAGAGTGGGCCTTCATCTATTTTTATATCGCGGATATGTTGTTCCTTTCCCAATAAATACTACACGTAGCTAGCTAGGTCTAGACGTCATACTTACAACTCTACAGTTGTTGTTCCTATAGGCTATAGTTAACCAATCATTGAATGATTCAATATTTGTGTCTCTGGGCTGCATTGGTCACGGACCTTAGATTCGTCCCATTACCGTTTATAAAAGCACTTTTATCATTTAAGAAATAAAAGTACCCTGCCTACTCTTTGGCTGTGTATCCTAAAACCTGATTGGATTAAACTATTAGATATTTTCATAATCACAAGAACCTTATTATTTGATTAAGATCTCAAACCCATGATGTTAGTATTATAAATACATCGTAATCATAATTAATGATATTGAGTATCCCAACTATAGGGGCCGGTTACATTAGTCCTGTTTTTACTATTCCATTCACTACTTGTTATATAAAATTAGGGAAAATCTATGATGTAGAAAAGATATGGTATGAGAAGATTTTTGACCAATCAAAATCCATCCATAAATTTTGATAAATAATACTTGATTGGTTACTACATTTATGATTCCAGTTTATTGGTTAGAAGTTTTTCATATATCATAGTCAAACCCATAAAATTAATATATGTTAATTGAAAATTTTGGTCTTAGTATTGTATTTTCAATGAAGTCCATGCATTCAAGCTCCAAGACTCCCAGCTACATGTAAGCTTTTTTAAGTCACATTATCAATAAATAAACATATACATGATTTTAGTTCATTTTCTTAGTACATTTAACATTTTGATCATCTTACCATCTTGCCCTAATATATAGCCAATTTTCTCTTATATAATTGGGAGAATGATGGTTCAGCCCATGGTCAGAATTTTTAAGTCCAAAGTACAGTTGGGGTAGGTGCCAGCTTGGAATTGATGCCAATTCACGAGCGGGCATTGGTGTATAGAATTGGGCTTTTTGACATTTTGAATGTTTATAGGTCTGCAATGGAATTCAGAAATCTGCATTGGGCCTGTTCGTACTTTTCCGTTATTATTATTATATGGTGCGGTACATAGATCTCCACTTTTAATTCTAAAGTCCTGTAAGGTTGTGATTCCTTGTACTGCTTAAATTATAATTGTTAATCTAGTTCTGTAGTAAACCCATGGAATTGTGTATTGTAATGTTCAGGGATGGATGAGGTATTCCACATGCTAACGTTTTTTTTTTTAGGAAAATTCCTGATTAGTATCCTGTACTTTGGGCCTAATGTTACTTTGGTCCCCAAACTATAAAACATAACAATTTAAAATCCAAAATTTTCAAAATATGCCAATTTAGTACCTACCAATAACCAATCTATTAACCAGCCGTTATGCGGCATTTGAAAAGAAAAAAAATGCCCTTCAAGTGTCATCTAATTTTCTTTATTAACCATCCAAACATTAATAAAAAATGAAGTGTATCAAATCCTTGCCTCTTCAATTCAAGAAAGTTGGGGCCACCAGAATGCCCACTAAGACGTGACCCCAACTTTCTTGAATAGAAGAGGCAAGGATTTGGTATTGCTTATTTTTTGTCAATGTTTAGATGGTTGATAAAGAGAATTAGATGACACTCAAAGGGCATTTGTGTCTTTTAGATGTCACTTACCGGCTGTTTAATGACAGGTATTAGATTGACATGTTTTTAAAGTTTGGATACTGAATTATCGCATTTTAAAGTTCGAGGACCAAAGTGGCACTAGCCCAGAGTATAGGGTACTAATCGGGAATTTTCCCCTTTTTTCATTAAGGGTGCATTTGATTTGAAGGAAAAAGTAGGGAAAGGAAGGGAAATGTAAGGAAATTTTTACAAACCTTGTGTAGATTTCCCTATGTTTCCCTTCTTTTCCCTACCTTTTCCTTCAAACCAAACATAGCTTAAGATCTCTTTTCATGGAAGAGATAGATACCCATAATCCCCCAATAATGATTACAGGCTGATCCCAAGTTTCCACCACAATCAGCTGAACCGTTAAGTAAAATGGTCTCAACAATAAAAGAAAAAAAAAAAAGAAAAGAAAGAAAGAAAGAAAGCAAATAGATAAAGCCAAATTGCCCATAACGCAGTTTGTGGTTTGAATAACTTTGGATGCACATAGCCAGGTCATAGATGGTAGAGGATGATGTAGGGTAAATCAACAGTAACAGAATTATATATAGATCCTGGAAATATAATAGTATTTTAGCTATAGAAGCTGAGATGGTAATAAAATTGTGGTGTTTTTTGGATACTAGTCACGTGGCTCACGCAAGATGAAGCTTGGGAGGACCAAAATCATGTGGCAAGTGCACGCATGCTTCGTATGAAAAAAAAAAAAAAGGGAGAATGCTCAGGGCCAGAGTGAAGATTCAAATATGTTCAATACAAATGCACAACAAAATGGTTTAGTACAATTAACCTAGCTCTATCTGCTTTGTTATCAATAAATCTGAGTTTGCACTAGTTTTGCCAAAAGCCCTAGTGACATTCAAATTAAGCATCTCCCTCTAACTCAATCTGCAACAGACCAAACTCATAAGAAAAACTTAATGCTTTTGAAAGTAGATGTACCCTCACATGCCTTGCAAGCGGATGGCTAGCTTTTTGTATGTGTGTACATACATGCATTCATGCATATAGTCAAATACACATATAAGGACATGTATGCATGCATGTCACATCTCACATTGTAAAATTATTTGCTGGATAGCTAAACTAGTGTTGCTTAAATTTTAGAAGTATTCAATAACAATAATTTCAATTGATGATCATGGGCTTCGTAAGAAAACTGTGGATTGGATCAATAGTTGTAAGTTTTATCTTCAATACAGTGGGCGCCCTCATAATTGTTAATCATATTTATGTTCAGTCGTAATAGTTTTATTAGAATGAACATGAACCACCGATTCCATTTGGTATATAAATTGTAATATTAAACTCAATTTTCCTTATTCAACCACTCTTTGAAAAGTATGTTAACCAATTTAAAAATTTAACATGCAGTTTTACCAAGTAAAGGGGAAAAATTATATTTTAAGTTATGATCATTGTGCATTAAATCCAATATTCAATTGATCAAGAGCCACTGCCAAAGACAAGAAAATGATGTGTGTTTGTATATCATACTAAGGTCTTTTTTTGCTTGGCTTAATTGTGGAAAATTCTATTTTGTTGGACAGAAGGTTTGTAAATCATCTATTGAAAGGAATATAATTGTATGGTCCATTATTGACAAAATATTAAAATACACCACTCCTATGGAATTTATCTATATACACGTAGCATATATAGATAGTTTAATTTTCCATTCATATAATTATATTAACTTGAACTTTTATATATACTACTTGGCACCGATCCTTAGGGTTTCATATGCATGATTAGCTAAACATAATTATATTTTTAGCTAGTGAGACGCCAATAATTAGAATCAATTAGAAATATTAGTCTTGGCCTTTGAGTAAATAGGTTCTTCTACCACTGATATTGTATCAGATGTACAGATCCCACTAATACGCTGCATCCATGATGGCTTTATATGGCTTTACATGGAGCTAGAGAGCATATATAAATTATAATTAGTTCTGGGTTCCTCCTTTCTAGGGTTTCCTGGGGAGATTATATTCTAGAGATACCAACTTCTTTCTTGTAGATCTCTTGATTCTCATCATCATCTACATGTACATGCATATATTTAGAAATTAATTTAACTAGTTTATTAAGTGGTGTACTATTCATTAATATATATATATATATATATCAACTTTAATTGTTTCCTTTGACGACTTTCTTTTTAATTTGCTTCCCGCGCTTCAAGACTTTGGATTCTCAATCCATTGTCAACTTGCTATATATGGAAATTGATCGAATCAATATATAATTTTTTTCTCTTTTATCTTTCTTCTGAAGAAGCAAATTGATGATCCATCACTTGCATTCAATCAATCAAAACCAACAGCTGACTTGCTGGTAAAGGGTGTTAATTTGGGGAGGGCTACTGGGCTAGCTACCCCGCGTTCATATAGCAAATAAATAAATATAATACTCATTTGGGGTTTTCGACATTGAATTTCAGAAAGAAAAAAGAGAACTTCCAGTTACATGAGCTGGTTTATCGTACAAAGTTTGAATTACATTGCTTTTGATGATTCTTTGCAAGACAGACTTACGTATAATTAATGCACATGGGTCATGGGCGTTAGATTCCATAAAAGAACAACTTTGAACGCCCACTGCTGAACAAACAAAGCCCAAAGCCCAAAGCCACAAGCTGAAACAGCACGTACAGTCAAAATCTGTTGATGAGCGCCATTCGAGATGGACTAAGAAGGCGATAGGAATTGTAACCTTTGGTGAAGTTACATCCTTGTTGATGAATAATCTCATTCTCATCACTGCCCATCTCCAGCAGCACCTTGTAGAAGAGATCCACGTCGCAAGGTAGCGCTAGAGGGCCTGCGCTGTTGTACCCATATTCCATTTCCGCTTCATCCAGTAGCATCTTGAACAGTGGATGGTTGACATACTCGGTCTTGATCACGAACCGCTGTTTCTGAGGCCCGACGTAAACGGAGAAGCAACCCTCGGGAGCGACTCGCCGGTTCACGCCGCGTTTGCCGTCGTCCGATGAATCTGGAGTGCGAGGCCACGATTTGCTCTTCGCTATGGGAGTAATCCCCGATGACTTCTTACCGCCAACGCCGATCGATCGACATCGCTCCCATGTCTTCACGATCAAACCTTTCTTACTTTTCTCCTTCCTGCCCACTTCCATGGTCTCGACTACAAGCTAGAAAAGGGAAAAAGAACAGAGAAAAGAGATGGTTGTTGGGCTTCTTGGGGCTTTAGAACTTGTGACAAACCATACAATATACAACAAGAAAACTCGATCTCTTTGCTGGGAAACGAAAACACCAAAGAAAACAGAATCAACGTAGCAAAACGAGCTCCAACTTCTTCGACAGAGAGTAGGCTTTACAAAGAGAAATATTTGGGAACGAGGTACTGATGGATGATTTTAACCCCTGTCATAGACCAAATGAAACATGATTTTCATCCTAGGCCTCATTGTATTACTCATGTTTTCCTACAACAGGAAACGAAACCGTAATCATCCAAAACACGAGAAGCCTAAGACTTGATGAAACGAAACCAAAGAAAGCAGTTTTAAGCCTACGAGAAGAAGAAAATAATCTGAGAGAGATCGAGGAGTTTCTCAGGAACCCAAATCCGAAAGAAGAGAATAAAAAGGGGATGGAGACAGAAGAGAACCACACAAGATGTGTTCTCGCTTGCGTCCCTAACCGGGTAATCTCAGCGTGGCTAGGCAATACTTATAGACAGCCATTTGTCAACTGTTAAAAAAAATTGCACCTCTATTTTATTCAATTATTTTCCATTTTTTAATCCTTACAAGGACTTGAAGCGGCCAGCTTCTATGATTTCAACGCCTGGTGAGTGGTGAGCAAACAATAATATCTAAATAAAAGAACAAATAAAGATGAAAGAGTGAAATGGGAAATCAAAATTTAGGAGAGCCATCTCTGGTGACGGTTGAGAAACTATGAAATGGAATCATTATGGTTTTTTTTCAAATAATAATGCTGAGTAGTAGCTAAAATTTTAGCTAGCTGCCTAGCTGGTCCAAAAAATAAAAAGAATGAAAATTGATTCAGCACAGACTTTTTTTTTTCCCTTAATTTTTTAATAAATTTCCAGGCAAATGGGCCCATGAGACGATGTCGCTATGGGTCGAAATCCCGCCGCCCACCCTTTGTGTAGAATTCTATATTTGTACATACCAAACAAAAAATGCTTTTGGGGTTTGAGCCCACAATAAGAAGAGTGATTCATGCATGTTTATAGTTTTCTATAAAACAGTTCATATTTGACATCCCATAATCTTGTTGGAAACCAAACCAACCCTATTATAGAATTAGCCCCTCCAATTTTCTCTCATCCTATCCCGTCCTTTACCATATCCCACAATCTTGTTGCTAACCAAATGCAGCATTGTAAACAGAGAGGAGCCGTGACATGTCACTATATATGACTCCTCTCCTCTTTGGTTATAGTTATTATGACAAATCTAATACAACAGCGAGTACTGTTATGGTCGGGTCCAGCAGAACTGATAGCCACGATGAATATACTGAATATGTACTCGATCAGTACGCACTAAATTTGTTGCCTTTATTGCTATATATATATATATATATATATATATATATATATTTCCAACCTATCTTTAAAATGATAAGCAAATTTTTAAAGCAACGGAACCGTCAGAATATTTATTAACGTTCAATATGTAGAATATAAAACCTTGTATTTTATATGTATTTATTTCAATTATACTTACTCTGATAGACCATGCACCTRTTAAATCCGGTGGATGATTCAATTGAAATAGATAGAACAATAAGGAATTTGCATAGCCTGACGCTAACGTTGAAAGGTTGAATATTATAGGGTGACCAGAAAATTCATAGTTAGATTACAATATGAGCTTCTAAAGCCAAATCATTCGAATATGAGCTTCATTTGCATGGTACCGCAGACTCATTGGTAATTTGGTATGGAATCGCCCCCCCGCCCACACAAACACACACAAAAAACAAAAAAACAAAAAAAAAGAAGCCCTTGGGTTCCTGATCAAGACTCGAGATCGATAATTTTGTGAAAAGATAGTTTATTTCTAAAACCTTTTAACCTATTATTTTAAGTTAATTATGCAAATAATTTATTTATTTGAAATTCAGAATCCTAATAGCTAGAAATGCAATAATTAATATATGGTGGTGAAGAAGAGGAAAGGGATATATATATATATATTAACATTAATTAAAGTGAATGGTTGGTTATCAAATGGATGATTTGGATTTAGCATTTCGCAGCTAGAAATTGACATCACGTAACACCCCATGTCATTGCATACTTCAGATGGGCTTAATATAGTATGATAGAAATACAACTTACTCTAAATTATTGTATTCTCTACATACTATATTTTATTTCTGCTACTACAGACTAATTAAATTCTCTGGCGTTTGTGTGTGTACAGGTGGCCCACCGGAAATCAAAAGAATATGTTGAACAAGCCACCAAGTAGTAGGTTAGTGGATGAAGATGAGTAGTTTAATTTGGACACAACAAGCTCAGTGACATCCACAAACTTTTATTAATACTCCAAAATAGTGGATGAGGATGAGTAGTAGATTATACTTAATTTTCCATTGCTTGATGAATATCATTAACAAAAGCATTTTATTTTTTTTACAAAAATCCACGAATCTGAAATCTCTCTCACGCTTAATCCAAATGTCATAGAACGAAGAAAGTGATCTTTTGGTTTTTTCTACTTTCATGTGTGACATTTTGAAGAAGTCTTCCGGATCGCCATCAGTTAAACGTCCACTGGAAATAGTTAGTATGGAAGCGGCTCAACATCAACCACGTGATCCACGTCCCACACTTTGAGACGGTAACAAATGGGTTATCCGGATTTGGTCCTCGCAAGAATAGTCCTTGCAGTCTTACATTGAGAATATCTTCTCATAAAAAAAGTAAAAAACATATAAATATGGAAATATTCTCAATATAAGGCTGCAACTGCAAGCGACTGTGTGAAGATGTGAGCATGGTCTTGTGAGCACTAAAGTCAATTTTATTAAACAATAAATACATGATTATTGAGGAATTAAAGGAAACATTATTTTTTGGTAATGCATATCTTATAATCTGTAAAAATTGGATCATCCCCTCCCCTCCCCTTTGGGAAGAAAAGCGCCTTCATTCCCTACATGTTAAGGTCTGTGTGGTTACAGTTGGAATTGGAATCAGAATGATTTAATTTGTTTGCATTGGTTCAGACAAGAATCGGAATAGGAATTGATATCAGCTGGAATGTGATTTTATTCCCAATAAAACGGAAGGAATGATCATTCCCTTAAATGGGAAAATGCCATTTCACCAAGAATGGGGCTTTATTATTGGTTAATCAGTTCCTAACACAACCATTAAGTTCATCTAATCCCGACTCTTTTTTTCTGTCTAAATTGTTATGCTAATCATGCGTGTTCTTCTTTGGCTTTTACTCTCTTTAGTACTTAATCTATGTCAGCATCAGCAGTGGTTGATGTTATATGTCAGCTCCTATATTTTTGTCCCTTAATTGTTGCGTTTTATAATATGAAAAATTAAGAGACATTAGAAAGTATCATTAATTTCAAAAGCCTTAGGAATCCGATCATCTTTAAGGCTATGTTTGGTTTGAAGGAAAAAGTAGGGAAAGGAAGGGAAATATAGGAAAACCTTTATAAAACCTATATAGGTTTTCCTACCTTTCCCTACATTTTCCTTCAAACCAAACACAACCTAATTGAAATGTTCATTAGTTATCACTTCATTTAATTTGGTATTAAATCAATGTTCTATTTTATTATATTAGAAATTTTATTTAACATAAATAAATTAAATACAAAAAATTTATAATTAGGTGTGTAATAATGTTAAAATAAATAATTAAATCAATTAATTTGGTTAACTCATTTATAACCAAAATATTTATATAATAGATGAGAAAATATTAATTTAAAGCATCAATTCTCTTCATATTTAATTTTATATTCATCCAATAGTCTATGCTTTCAATTAGACAAATAATTTAATAAAAATAATTATAAAATAAAAGAAAAAAAAAATGATTTGTGAGGTATGTCTATAAAAAATATAAACCATGCATTGAAGTAGTCCATGTTTTTTTTTAATTGTAATATGATATACAGTAAAATAATTAATTCAACGAAATAATTGGGCCCTAGTGTCACGGGGATAATCGTTGGGGCCCCGTGCGGCACTCGAAAGGGGCGAGTAAGCCTACGCAACAAAGCAAACACACACAAAATGGCAACAAGATGGAACACGGATTAGCAAAAGGCTATTTGTATTGCAATAATCAGTGGCAAGCACAAGTACACAGTATAGCGTCGAGGGGATCTCGTGCTTAACCTTTACACGCTTATGAGCTCACTCGACTACCTACCTCCTCTCAAAGAGTACGTTAAGCTTTTGGGGGAGTGACAATAAGAAACGTCAAAAAGATGAAAAAGCATACTACAATATTACAATATTGCCATTGGCAGTCCTCCATACAAAAGTACATGCTTAGCCCACCCATGGCACACACTTGGACGCCGGAGTTGCGGCTATAGGCACATTGGATGGCACTTGATGGCGCGTCGAAGAGAACACTTGTTACACTAGGTCAACAATTTAAACATGCATCTTGGCTTATGGCGGGAAAACAATTTAAAGTCTCAATTACCATTGAGACTTTGTTCGAACTATATCACAATTTATTCAGTATTAGTGTGTATCAAGGAAATACCCTTAAAAGACTTTCTAAGGTAATCAGGCTTTTAAACACGGATGACCAGCGTCTTCAAAACCAGATGATCGGGATCAGAAAAATTGGGAATCAGTCACCTAACCGGTTCTATTTCACCCAAAAACCATTTTTTGACTAAATATTTTGATTTGGTTAGCAATTAAACTGTTCACTCGAACGATTCAACCATCGATCTTGATGATGCGTAATCTGTTCGCTCCCTCGTGTCTTGTGACTGGGTTTGAACAAGGTTTTGATCTGGCAGTGCTGAGCTGGTATTTGTACGTCCAAACTGGAAAGAGCTGTAAAGAGAGAAAGGTGAGAGTGTCCTGGTAGGTTTTACCCAGGAGAACACTCCAATGCTTAAGTCAATATGGGAACTTCGTGAGAAATGTATGAGAGAGCTTAAGTGCTTCAGTGCACATACCTTTTTGGGTGGGCCTGGACGCCTTATATAGGTCCCTAGACTCAGGGAGCTCAGGGTAACAATCTTGAGCTCTTTGTGAAACAGTTTTCCTATTTTCAAGCGCATTAAGGTTTCAGTTTTGAGATCTTTGCGGGAGTTACGATTCGTTTGCGTAGAATCTGGCACGCGACACAGTGAGTCATTCTAACAGTCGTGCTATCGACCCGAGGTGGAACTACAGGGAGTGGTCTGTGAGCTCTCCTTAGCAGGTTGCCTTAAGTCCCTATAGTTCGACCGACTCCTAGGATAGTTTGCCGTAATCCAACGGGATCAACTAGTTCGGTCTCACTGAAATAGAGGTCGATTTGGGTGAGATACTCTACCTAATTTTACTGAGCTAGCTCGTTGATTTGGTGTTGAGGTATCATCTAGAAGCCACATGTCATTATACGATTGGGGAGACCAAATTACCCCTCGTCAGATCCGAATAGCAGTTT